ACCTGTCCCCCCTGTGGCCCTGATGTGTCCCCCGTGTCCCTGCCGTGTCTTCTCCGTGTCCCTCACCTGTCCCCCCCGTGTCCCTGCCGTGTCTTCTCCGTGTCCCTCACCTGTCCCCCCCGTGTCCCTGACGCGTCCCCCGTGTCCCCAGGACATCAAGGCGGCGTCCCTGCGCACGCTGACGTCCATCGTTCACCTGGAGCGGACGCCGAAGCTGAGCAGCATCATCGACTGCACGGGCACCGCGTCCTACCACGGCTTCCTGCCCGTGCTGGTGCGCAACTGCATCCAGGCCATGATCGGTGCGTGCCGGGCCCGGGGGCTCGCCTGGGGGGGCGTGACCCGCCCTAACCTCACCTGTCCCCGCCCTTCCAGACCCTTCCATGGAGCCCTACCCCCACCAGTTCGCCACGGCGCTCTTCTCCTTCCTGTACCACCTGGCCAGCTACGACGCGGGCGGCGAGGCGCTGGTGTCGTGCGGCATGATGGAGGCGCTGCTCAAGGTGAGCTCCCGGCGCCTGGCAGGGCTCTCAGGTGAGCCTCGGGTACCACCTGACGCGCCCGCCACGCCCCGGCCAGGTGATCAAGTTCCTGGGGGACGAGCAGGACCAGATCACGTTCGTCACGCGGGCCGTGCGCGTGGTGGATCTCATCACCAACCTGGACATGGCGGCTTTCCAGTCGCACAGCGGGCTGTCCATCTTCATCTACCGCCTCGAGGTGCTGCCCCTGCGCCCCCCGGGCTGTTGTGGGGTCCCCTGGGGTTGTTTTGGGGTCCCTGGGGCTGTTTTGGGGTCCCTCAGGGCTGTTTTGGGGTTCCTGGGGTTGTTTTGGGGTCCCTCAGGGCTGTTTTGGGTTCCCCCGGGGTTGTTTTGGGTTCCCCCGGGGTTGTTTTGGGGTCCCTCAGGGCTGTTTTGGGGTCCCTGGGGCTGTTTTGGGTTCCCCCGGGGCTGTTTTGGGGTCCCCCAGGCTGTTTCGGGGTCCCCCAGGCTGTTTTGGGGTGCTGAGGCTCTGTGCCCCCCAGCACGAGGTGGACCTGTGCCGCCGCGAGTGTCCCTTCGTCATCAAGCCCAAAGTGCAGCGCCCGCCGGCCGCCGCCCTGCCCGAGGGCGAGGACATGGAGACGGACATGGAGGGTGAGCAGGGGGGGCCGGCAGTGCCATCCCCCCCCCCCCCCCCCCCCGCCGCCCCCCCCCCC